AGAAAATACTATTCATACAAGTTTCATACATTTTGCTAAAAGTGTGTCATCGAATTTTCAAAGAACCTTTTTTCTTGTTTGGGCATAAAAGTCGGTGTATAGTACTAAATGAAAAATACATACAAAAAAATGTTATGTTCAGCTTTTTTGTAATGGCGTTAACAAAAAACTTCCAAGTAATTTTGAAATGGCCCCAAAAATTTTTTTCATCCGAAAATCGAATTTTTTGCATGCAAAGTTTAATTTTTTGTGTGCATAACGTAGTCCGAGATTTTTTTCCGTTTCTCTGGATAAAAAAGCCAAAAAACTCCTGCTTTTTCATATATGGCCTGTTTATGGCCTTGATTAATGTCTGAAAATTTAAAAATTCATCTTTTAAAAAAATTCCCTTTGTATATGATTTATGTAAGAAAACTGTCAGAGCATTCAGGTAGTTTCCAATTCATTGTAAATGCACGACCATATATATAGTATTCTTTATGTAAATTCTGACCAAAAACTCATTTTTAGAGATGCTTACCTTAATCCACTTTTGACTGACTCTCGAACTCGCTATTGCCAATTTAAATACACCCAGCCATCTTTTTGAGCCATTCTTCATTTTTGTAGGTGAAAAGTGTCGATCGACCACTATTTTGAGAATGAATGAATGTGAAAATCAAGTTTTGAACAAACAACCACCCAAACTGCCCATTTTAGCCTCGTATCTTATCAAACAAACAACGCACTACGAAACCAACTATGACGCCTGACACTAAAGAAGTAAGGCCGAAAAATCAAGTGAAATAAGAGTCACACCAAACAATTTCAGTATTAGAAAACCATGAACTCTACGGGGCTCAAACCCGGACCCCTGCTGATGATTTTCACTTGCCTTATAAAGTTATAGTCAGGACGTCTGTAATTCTGCTACTTCAACGCGATGTTTGTAGATTTTAGGTAGCAAAGATTATTATAAGATTTGCTGATAAATTAGCGCATTATTTTGTGTTAAATGAGTTTGTTAATTACGTTTGTGATAACAATTGGAATATCAAGTTAAAATGATGCGTTTATCCTCGTTGGAGCAGCAACGACGTTTTCCTTTGACAATTTATTTTGGTTAGCCACGGATTTCGATTTTTTATGCCCCACCAAGCAAGTTTCGACATCTTCAAGTGCGTTTGAACTGATTTAAACGTCATTTGCACTGAAATACTAAGCAAAATTTACGTTAAAATATAATTAAAAAATGCAAAAAACAAGTTCAATATCAATAAAAAAATGGATGCCTGCATGGTTTTCAACAAAAACCCGCATGTGTAGTTTGAAAAATAATATTTTTGATTAGGAAATTCAGTGAACCCAAAGTGACCACAATTTTTCAAACTAGCTTTTGTGAATTGATTAATACTGACGCAAGTTCATTAAGACCAGGGGCGGATGTAGGCGGGGGGCGGGGGGGGGGTTGGAAGCATAATATTCTGTTTCAGGGATTCGACCCCCTGCCGGCCCAAAGGGTCCCCCCTTTGGTACTTTTTAAGAAATCCATTTTTGGCCGACCGACCCTAAAATTTTTCTAAAGGCGCCTTTGCCGCCAATATACTAACTTTGAGGGGGAGCGTACGCCAAAAAAGAGGATTTTTTTGTCAAAATTTTCCAAAAAAGGCCCAAAAACGGTTTGAACTGTTTTCTCACAAATTTGTTTGCGGCGCAGAAAATTCGGCAAAAACAGTGCCTTTTTAGTGCTTTAAGAGAGCTCGGCAAATCAATTTGGGCGGCCATAAAAAAGGTCGTCAAAAAGGTCGTCAAATTTGTACATCTTTTCGAAAATTTTGTCGAGCTTTTTTCAGGTCGATCAAATTGATTTTCCGAGCTCTCTCAAGGCACTAAAAAAACCGCAGATAAAATTTAAAAAAAAAACGGGCCAAAAAGGTGTTTTTTGGAACTTTTGACCAAAGTTACTGCTTTTGGGGCGAGCTTCTCCCTTTCCCCTCAAAAAGAATTTATGTTGGTGCCAAAGCAGGGGCGGATCTAGGATTTTCTCGAGGGGGGGGGCGGATTTTCAAAAAATTTTCGAAAATTTTGACGACCTTTTTTTTTTTTTAGGTCGACCAAATTGATTTTTCGAGCCCTCCCAAAGCACGGTTTTGTCCCTATTTTGGCCAAATTTTTTGCGCCGCAGGCAAATTTTTGGAAAAACAGGTCAAAAAAGGCGTTTTTAGGCACTTTTTGGAAAATTTTGACCGAAAAATTCCCTTTTTTCGGTCAAAAATGGATTTCTTAAAAAGTATCAAAGGGGGGACCCTTTGGGTCGGCAGGGGGTCGAATCCCTGAAGGAAGGGAAGCGTCCGCCCCCCCCCCGCCCCCCTCCCCTAAATCCGCCCCTGTGCCAAAGGCGCCGTCAGAAAGTTTCTAGGTTCGTCAGCCAAACATGGATATCTCAAAACAGTACAAAAAGAGACCCTTTGGGTCGGCACAGGATTGAATTGAATAGCCCATTTATAAACAGTATACTCACAAACAGGCAAAATAATAATCTGATCTGCGCTGCGTTTTTGGCTTTGCTCAATCCATTAATTTGCTCAATGGGAACAGGGGAAGAAACTGGATCTTTGCTGAAATTTTCTCGTTGCTTGAGGGCGAGGCAATATTTATTCAACCCGGACAAATTATTAATGTATTTTTTCAATCAAGTTGAAAAGGCGATTTTCCATTAAGAAAATGAACAATTCGTATTACGGTATTGATAAGCCGTCTAGTTATTTGAAAAAAAAAGATTTTTGGGCTCTGACAGTTTGCCAATTTTCTTAATTATCAAAGTTTAAAATAATAATGTACCCGAAATTAATTGAGTGCCGTGCAATCTATTCGATTGAAAGAGCCCATAGAAAACTGCTTTTTTTCTAAAATGCCAGTGTGTCGGCTAAAAACGAACCAATCAACACGCTTGACTGTTGACTGTTATTGACTGTTATTTTACTAAACTTATCACAATATTTAAGTTTTCATTATCGTCTTTTTTGATTATTTGTCGGTGATCGCAGTTGGAAAGTTGGCTCTTTTCCAGTTTCCCACCCCTTTCGTAAAATAGCAAAAAGAAGCTGCTCAAAAATTGTTCACACGGCATTTTTCATATTATAAATGTTGTGAAAATTTGTTCACCTGTTCACGCTCACACGTTTAAATGCAGTTTAAAACATAAAAGTAATTTTAAATAGACTTTCCTCAATGAATTTCAGAAAAAAATCAAAAGGGGGGACTGTAAAAGAGCCGGAAAGTTTTCATGAAGAGCAACGGCAATACTTAACTTTTCAGATACCAGCAATTTTGATATAAATTATTGTTTTTCAGCATTTTTGTTAAGTTATGAAATATGTTATCTGACTTCTGATTCAAAAAATGTGATCATCAAAAAATTTGGTTTAATTATAACGATTGAACGATCTATAATCAATAGTATGTAGTACAAGTGATCGTGTGCTCAGAGAAGTTTCACTGACTGACTGATTCATTTGACATTTTTAGGACTTTTCACGCTGAGCTGATGACGTGTTTTTTTTTGGAAATTGAAAGCTGAAAACATTGATCGTTTTAAAAGATTTCTTTGAGCTTCATTGCGAGGGCAAACTGCTCACTTTGTTAATTGTAAGTGGGTTCAGCAACAAACCAACATCAGATTTGCCGCGAAATTGTAACATTGTTACTTTTTTTAATCTTCTTTGCTGTTTGATTTTGGTATTCTACGGACAAATAGCTTAAGCGATTTTATGCTCAAAAGAGCTCCATAAACAGGCGAGTTTGCGGATTCCACGAAGAAATAAAAACATATGTTTTTAGTGAACTTATGATGTGAAATCCGCAACTTTAAGTGAAAACTTGTAGGCGGAATCCGCAAATTGTAAGCGAAATACGCAAATTGTCAGCAGAATCCGCAAATTGTAAGCGGAATTTGCATGAATTTGCGATATCCATTTACATATGCGGAATTCGCTTGCATTTGCGGAATTCAGTACAACTACCTATAATCGATCGTTGTGGAAACAAAACTAATGTGCCAACAAAGTTTACGTTACAGGTATTTGTACGTGGAATCCACGGAAATTTTGTAAGTGGAATTCACTTACAGTTTGGAACATGTTCAAAGACTTGTCTCTGGAATCCAAGAAAATACAGATAGAAAAATGAGCGCCTCTCCAGTGCACAGTTTGGCTTCGTACTTTTTGAATAAAATTAAAAATAGATTGACTGTTTTCAACTCCTGAGGCCTGAAGCCGAGCGTAAGTGAATAAAACTAAGAAAATGAACGTTTATTGCATTCCCTCCGATGAAAATGATTTGGTTTAGATGTTTAAAAGAAATGTGCAAAAAAAGAGAAAAATATTGAACCAGTGTTTTGTTTTTAAATTTTATCCTTCGACACCATGTAAAATGCGAAGTGATCAAATGTGAGTGTGATCACGTATCAGTAGGAGCAATTTTATGCTCAATTTAGTTTGGAATGTTTTTATTTGGCGCTTACGTTTCAATAGGACAAACTATATGAGTTAAAGTGGTCAAACTAGTCCCAAAGTTAATAACCGAAGACTTAAAAACTTTTAAAAATGCAACTGAAATTTCGTTCAAATTGTGAACATCAAAATTTTTCATATAATATTAAAGAATTGGACCAATTTAACCAATTAAAAGCTCGAAAAGCGTCAGGAGGAAAAACTTCCTCATGTACAAATATTTGACACTTTCTTCGAAAGTCAGAACAATAAACCGGCAAAAAACGAAAGAGCGTGAACAAGTCTAACATTTAACTACAACAGCAAAAAGAAACGTCATTGGCAATTCATTTTGTACAAAAAATGAGGGTGAATTTTTAATTTCTAAATCTATTTAAAAATTTGCTTTTTTTCAAACTGAAAGTTTTTTCATTTCAAAACAAATTTTTATGAACTCAAATGCATAACAATTTTCTGCAATTGCTTTTGTGCCATCTGTATCATCATTATAGAAATATAAAAATCATGGAATTATTTGCTTTTATTCCAGAAGTGAGTTTCAACGTGAAAAGGCCTTCTTTTCATTCTTCTCTCCTCGTCATCATCAATTTCACTCTCCTTTCCGCTTTTTTCCTGATGTCCGTTCTCTTCTGTTTTTGACGTGTCTAAAGTATGAAAACCATAAGAAAACCATTTTTTATCCTAAGAAGAACAAGATTTTAAATGGGACTGTTTTTATCCATTGTTAGTCCACTCATCGCTGTTTATATTCGAGTGAGTATCATCATTTGAGACACTTGGTCAGCACGTTCTGAAAAAGTCTACACTATGTTTGTAGACTAGATCGCAACCATACTTTGTGGTTCTGTGAGTTTTCTGACATAGATAGTTCTCTGGAAAGATGATTTCAACCCGGGAGAATAATTCATAGTCTCAATCTCAAGATAGGCTCACACAATGCGGTAGTTGACAGGAGTAAGAGTAAATTATTTTTGAATTCTTACTTTTCTCAGCCGTTAGAATTACTGCATTCTGTTGAAATCCGGGGTCAGTCACGACGTAATGGAGAGAGTAAGATTGTCCTGCATCTTCGTCTGATTGGCGAGCTCCGTCAAGCCTTCTTAACATGAGATGAACTTATTGAAACGACTTATTTAAGAAAAGAAATTATATAAAGTTATTAGATTTTTTTAAAAATATGTTCACTCGCGTCACTGGAAGGGACTGGAAGGAAATCGTGGAGTCAGTTTTTTTGGGTATCTAGGTCAGTGGGTCAAACTCAGAAGGGGGTCAAATTCAGAAGGGGGTCACATTCAGTAGGGAGTCAAATTCATTTAGCGTATCTAATGCAAACTTTGTACGGAAATTACAATAGAGGTTATTAAAGAGGTGTTGCATGTATGTACGCTTTTTTATTGTATAAGCTGAGCATTCTTCCAGTGTGAATATATTTTCTTACGTGGAATGTATTTTTATAGACAAAAAAACTTTGAGCAAAGTTTCCCTGATTAGTTTATTCTGCTTTGAAGCTTACCCTTGCAATAACCGCGACGATGTTATCGGGTACTAGACTTTTTTGTTCCGACTTTCCGAGCGAAAATAACGGAATATTTCTGCTCGGGTGGTTTTTTTTGCTTCAGACTAGCTATTTTAACTAGCTTTTTTAACTTCGACTTTTTAACTAGCCATTTTGACAAAACTTTTTGATATCATTCGGAAGCTAATGTTGTCTTGAGTTTAAATTTGAAGAGATGTTTTACCTGTGATCGTTTTTTGTAAAGTTATGGGGATTTAAGGATTGCCATTTAGGCCAGTTTGGTACAATTAACGCGCGATACATTTCGCGCTATTAACGCGTCAGCGGAGATTTTATCTGTCTTAGAGATCGTTTCAAATTGGTTGAAAAAAAGCATATTTGCCATAATTGATTTTTTACAAGGAGTGAATTCTATTTTTTTTTACTTTTTATTGCGTGCAGGGGGATGATGTTTACAAAAAAATCTCAAATTTTAGAAAAAAAAACCATTTTTTTCGACATTTAATTTTTTCATAATATTACTGCTCCATAGACCTTAAAAGACAGTCGCAACATTCAAGGCTTCACCCTGATACGAGCAATCTTGTTTCCATTAGACATCGTTGGAGGAACTTCAAATTAACAACTGAGAACCTGGGACAAATATTCGTGGATAAATGGACAATTGAAAATATATAGTTTTCAAAACGTTGTTGGGCATTCACTACACCAGTAAATCTATTGTTTCAGTAGGATTTTGGATACGTTACAAGAAGCGGAGAATTCAGAACATTGAAAAGGAATCTTTAATCATCTGGCAAGACTGCTCGTATCAGGGCAGAGCCCTGAATCTTCCGATTGCCTTTCAAGTTTTATTGAGCAGTAATAACATTAAAAAATTAAGTGTAATAAATGAAAATGAATTTTTTTTAAGTTAGAGATTTTTTTTGTGAAAATCATTCCCCCACACGCCAAATAAAGTAAAACCGTGATAGTTTTGCTCCACTTAACAACTCAATTATGGCAAATAACCCGCACCAAGCACCCACGGTTTCTAATTGATTATAATGGATTCCCGAGATGAAAATAATCCATTATAATCCATTAAAGTTGAAAATATCAGACCACGAAATCGATTATATTGCTATTCCAATCAACTATTTTTGAAAACAAAAAAAACCATAAAAATCCATTATAATCGATTATAAACCATTAAGTTTAGCAAGGAAATCGATTTTTTTGCCAAGAAAACTTCTTATAATCGATTACTTTTGAAATAAAAATCCCCTGTAATCTGTTATAATCGATTATAATCAATTTTGTTTTTGGAACTAAATTCGAGTATAAGAAATTTGCAAAATGTATGCCATGTCTTATACTAAATGCCATTTCTCAACTAAAGAGAGGAGGATAAATGGGGGGTGGGATAAACTGGGGGGGGGGGGGTAAACTGGCAGGGAGGGGGTGTCAATCATTAACCTCCTCCCCCAAAGCCTACCAATAAAAAAACCCATGTTCAACCATAAGGGGGCGAATGGCGCTTGTGGTAAGCTGGCGGGAGGGGGTGGGGGTATAAACGGGGGTAAAGTAAAAGGATGGTGAAGTACAAGGGGGTTTAAGTGTAAACTGAGATGAATTGAAAAAGTAGAGACAAAAATTTTTAATGTAAAATGTAACATTTTATGAAACGTAACACGCAGCAACTGCACTAAACAGGAAATGAGATAACTTTGAAGGAAGTTGTAGATTACAAGATTAACCTCTCAAAAGTTTTGCTTAGACAAGATGAAACTCTCAAAAGTATATTGAACTAAAAGTATTAGGATTACAATCCACTTTTAATGAGCTCTAATCGTTTAATTTTTAATTATATAGATTATGACCATTTTTTGATAATATAAGTAATTCTGATCCATGGGTGCCCGGTGTGGGAAGCTTCCTTCAACCCTGCAAAAAATTTTGAAACAATTTCTAAGACGGATTAAATTTCTGCTTACGCGTTAATAGTGCGAAATATATCGCGCGTTAAATGTCCCCCCTAATTGGTCAAAATGGCAATCTTTAAACCCCCATAACTTTACAAAAAATGATCGCAGCTGAAATATTTTTTCAAATTTAAGCTCAAGACAACAATACTTTTTCAACGATTTAAAAAAAAGTTCGTGAAAAATGGCTAGTTAAAAAGTCGAAATTTGTCTGAAGGAAAAAAACCTCCCCGAGCACAAATATTCCGTTACTTTCGTATCGAAAGTCTGAACAATAAGTTAATTAAGAATAACTGAACCAGGAATATCCACTTTTTTTGCTTTCCCCATTTGGGTGCCGGTAGTTCGCAGTTAGATATTTGAATGGGTGCACCTAATTTCCGCACTGCATGTTAAGGATTCCCCATTGTTTTATGGATTCCCCGTTATTCTTCGTTGACATGCAAAATACGTTCACCATGTCACAATGCTCAAAATAAGTTGAAAGCCTAGCGCTAAGTACCGATCAGAAAAAGCGTTCTTTTAGTATTTTCGATTATCAACCATTCTTATACTACTTTTCAATTATCAACTTTAATTCCTGACTTTGTTACACAAAAAACTTTTCCACTTCTTTGGTATCGATTATGCCGACTTCTAGTTTCTTGATAAAAAATAGCATCTAAAGCGGAAAATAATTACCTAACAATATTATTATGCAGCTCGTTGGAAAAAACCTAATGAAAAGAACATGCTTTTTTCCGCAAACAAAATTGTACCCACAGAATAACTTTGATACAAGCGGCCTTAATTAGCCCTCGTGTAATATAGAAAAAACATCTCACACCCAAGTGCTATACTGCAAAAAGACCAAAACACTCACAAATTGGTCCAATTTAAGCGCTAAAGTTAAAAAAAAAACTTCACATAAAGTTGCACTCAAAAGCCTCATTTCACACAATATGCTCAATCACATAACGTCTAGGGAACAGATCTGAGGAATAGGTAAAACAAAGCAATGATCAAAATATTCTCAGTACAACCCTCTGCTGCCAAGGCTCTTGGAGAAGCCATCCAGAGAAATCTGGACAAGCAGGTAGAACCAGTGCAATGCTGGCAAATTAAAGTAAGTAGGGAAATCCGGGACAATTCTGAGAAGCCGAGGAAACAATGAGAAATTAAGACGGAGGAATTGGAATTCACCCAGTGTGTTTTGGCCGCCCTTGCACTCCCTGCAACCAAAATAGCATAGCGTACATGTGATTTTAGCTACCCCTCCAATTCACTCATACTCCAAAAACTATATGCAAAAGGCTTGACTCGAGATTCTGATGGCGATTAAGCAAAACTCTGCTGGAATTTTTTTGTCGTAATATGTTGCACCATAAAAATAATTGCCTTTTTGCCAAATATTTGAGAAAGTTATTTTGTTTTTGTTAATTTCATAACTTTTCGAAAAAACTTAAAAACATCAAATCCCATCACAGAAAAAACTCATAAATAAGTCTTTTAATACCATTTCTGCTTTGTAAATTTTCAAAAAAAAACTTGATTTGAACTTTTTATACTCTGACATTGTTAGATCATCGTTTCATTCAGTTACGAAATTCGATCAAAGAAAAAAAAATTGCCATAAATTTTTTAACCAAACAATTCTTTGAATAGTTTCATCAGCTGTGATAATTAGCCATGCGATTGACAAGAATTGTGTAAGTGGGTACTAGACTCTTTTCCTGCGAGCTAGAGGGTACTGTTTTTCTGTACACACAGAAATGATAGTTTTTATAAAAGTGTTGCGTGTATTATTGCTTTTTTATTGCATGTGCTCAGCGTTCTTCCAATGTGCATTTATTTTTTACCAATATCTGCCAAAAAGTAACTATATAAAACTGCGTACATTTACATCCCTTGGTTTTATCGAAGATTGATTCAATTTTCAAAAAAACTACAGATCGAGTAAATTTAGGTTTGCACTATAAAATATGAACAAAATTTTACGTTTTTTGGAAAAATAATGAAAACTTTTTGGCTGATTTTTTTCCCAATTGACATCCGGTCAGCTAGTTTCTAGCCTATTGCGTAAAGATACGTTTTTTCGCATGTTGAAGCTTATAATAATATTTGAGATTTTAGGTTTTGAGTTTCCAAAAACTAATTAGTTTTGTGACAATTTTATATTAAACAGTTCCAAAATCGAGCAATAGCACAAATTGTTGGCTCGATTTTTTTTCGACAGAAATAAAATTAACTCAAAATGAAGCTTTCCATTTAAGTTGAATTGTTCAGGAGGGCAAAAATAAGTGTTTTGTGCTTTTGATTGCAAGTTGTGAGTCTTCAGAAATGAAAGTATTTTTTTAAAATTGTTTCTAACTTTTTACCATTGCAGAAACATTTGTTTTAGTTGACAACATCACAAAACTGCAGTGAAAAAAGGTGCGCATAATGCAGGTTTTTCTATAATGTTAGTTAGTTTTTTGTCATTTCATCAGCACAACTAAAGCTCGGAAGTACCAAAATTAACGAGATTCAGTTTGTTTGGGTTGAATAAAGGCGAGTGAGTTCAAAATTTTACGGTTAAGTCATCTAATTGTAGCGTTTACTGATTTTTTGAACGATGTTTATGCAGATTTGCTTGTTAAAAATTTTGTAAGTACTTTCGTACTTGTAGATGATTTAAAAATTTAATTTTGGGGACTTGTTTTCGTGTGCGCAATTAAACGATTCACCTCGAGATGAAAAAACTCCGCTGTGATAGCCTAAGATTCCTGCGTTAATTAAAACAGTCATTGCGGTCATGTTTTTTTATCCATTCCAATGTATGGGGTGCATTTCACTAAATCAATTTCATTACATAATGAGAGTATTAACAAAATGAACTTTAATTTTTTCTTTAGCTACTAAAATATTACCGAAAAAAAATGTCTGAGAAACCCATTTTCTTGATAATTTGATTATTTTTCCAAACGATTCCTTAAAATAATTCAATTGGCACTTTCAATTTTTTTTAAATATGGCTTTATCTCTGTTTTGTTTTCACATTAATGGATGGTGGCATCTTTTTTTGCTTTAGCATCAGTCTACAAAAAAGTCATTGTTAAAAATTTAAAACTAAGAAAAAAAATTTCTCATTTTTCTTGGCAAGTACATATAAGAGCGGTACTTTTTTGTTTCTTGTCGATCATCTGTAAGGATATCTTTATGACCTCAATTTTTATTCAAAAAAACTGCTGTTTTTGTACCTTATGCGTGTGAATGGCCTTGCTTTAGTTTGTAGGAAGGCTTGACCTCGATCTTTTCTTCCACCGAAGCACCATCTGAACAGTAAGGTCGAATAGGACTTCTCAAGGCATCTATTATGTATATTGGAGCTTATTTCTACACAATTTTGTGTTGATGTTGTGTTTTGGTCTATAGGAGCTGCAGATATCTCTACAATGGAATCCGTGTCGTTGCAGTCATTGGAGACATTTCCAGTTTTATGCATCAACACATTTTGTCTCTGGTTATTTCGGCTCTTTTTAGGCTTGTGCAAAACATCGTCAATTATTAAAAACTTGTGGTTTCTGCGATTCGCAGAGAAAGTAATGAAAACTATCAAGCCTGTCTAAGCATAGTTTGTTTTTCTTTTTGCATCATTAATTTTTTTATTAAACAAAAAGTTTAAAATCAGAAATTGTTAATTGCAATTGGATTAAAAACTTTAATTCATTTCTGAAAATCAAGTTTTGACTTTTGAAACGGTGTTCACTTTAAAAAATGAACTCACGGTATTTTTGGCGAATTGCAAAAGAAGACTATTTGAATTTTAAAAAAGTTTTCAAAAGTTTCACCAGTAGGCCACTTGAGTGTGTAAAGCCTAAAAAGAGCCCACTTGTTGCTCTATTCTTGATGTTTGGTTTGTCTGTCGGCGTCTACCCAAAAACAGAAATTTGATGTTCCGCGACACATTAACTGCCTCTGCTAGTGTCAGTAGCATTGTACATATGACTGTGACTGCGTACCAGGGGGAAGCGGCTATGAAAGTCTTGATCTTCCAAACCATTGGGCTCTTCCACTCAAATTTCAGTTTCACATTTCCCAATTCACCACCATTGATGCTAACAGGAGCTATTTTGTAAGACTCCTGAAAGTAGAAAATATTTCAACAAAAGCTCATTATTATTAAATCCAAGGTCCTGCTTCAAAAAACGATTCTTGTTGAACAAACTGAATGTAGAAAATTCACAAAATCCAACGGGATCGGAAATTCGTAAGTTACTGGATTCCTGGTTCTCTTTGTTCAATCGATAGTCTGAAATGATTTTTCTTGCGTTGATAGCTTTGGGTACGTTGTGTTAAAAAAGTCATCTTTGAATTAAGTTTTTGAGGCTTGTTACTTTTGTTTTGGGTTTTAAAATAGCTCTTGATTTAAAGCATAAAACTAATTTTTATACAATATAACGCATTTTTACATTTTTACAATATAACGCATTAACGCATTTTTACAAAAGTTTTTACATTTTCCGGGGATTTTGTATAGTTTTTATACCAACTCATATACAGTTTTAAAAAAGCGCTTAATTGTGTTTCAATTAACAGGAACAATCAAATGTTTCATTACAAGAAGATTCTTTTAGCAACAATTTGGGCTTAAATAATCGTTTAAACTTAATTTGGGGCGAAAAGTTTTTTGAAAAACTTTTTGCGGGTGAATGGATATTCGATACGCCTCCTCAAAAAAATTAATAGTTAAATTGTCTTTGAATAAAACAGCAGTATTTAATCAAATTTCGAAGAAATTGACGGTATGTTTATGCTCGGTTGTCTCTAGACGGATTCCGATTTTTGATTAGTCTTTTTTGGTAGAAAATTTTGAACCATCTGGAGTATTAAGGACAGTTTTTTTTAAAAAAAAATCTGTGATTAAGTTTTGTGAAAAACGAGGCTGATAAAATGGCCAGTTTAGTTAATTTAGGGTAATTAAACTGCTATCTATTTCTTCGTATAATGCGTAAGCAGTAAAACAGTCCGGCTTAAAATTTTTACAAACTAAATTGAGTCAAACTATTTCTTTTAGTTGGAAAACTAAACTTGCAAAAATTTGTTTTAGTTGCAAAAATATTTGTTTTAGTTGCAAACTAATTGTTTTAATTGCAAAAATATGCAAAACTTACTGTTTTGCCCTTTCATGGGCGTAAAGGAAGATTTTTTCAAAAATTAAACAAAATTTGTTTTATACAGAATTTGTTAATGTTCCGAATTTTGTAAAGAAAGCAACGGAAAATTTGTGCTCGGTTTTTTTCTTCGGACAAATTTCGACTTTTTAACTAGCCATTTTTGACGGGGTTTCGAAGGGAAAAATATTAATGTCCTGAGCTTAAATTGTTTAAGAAATATTTCACCTGTGATCATTTTTCGCAAAGTTTTAAAGGTTGCCATTTTGGCCAATTTGGAACAATTAACGCGCGATATGTTTCGCGTTATTAAAGCGTAAGCAGAGATTTAATCCGTCTTAGAACTCTTTCCATACTGGTTGAAGGAAGCTTATTTGCCATTATGGATTTATTACTAGGAGCAAAATCTATCACTTTGTACTTTATATGGCGTACAAAAATATCAAACTAAAAGATAAATTTTTTTTTAATTTAATTTTTTATGTTATTACTGCTCCATAGGCCTTAAAAGGCAGTCGGAAAATTCAGGGCCTCGCCCTGATACGAACAGTCTCGTTAATTTTTTAAACTAAAATTTACTCCAAAAAATTTCCAGAAAAGTCTGAACTTTCAGAAATTAGCCACGAGACGAGCAGTCAGATTAATTTGAGCAATCAAGCTTCCTGTCACAAAAAAAAGAAGTTCAATGGAGTTCCAGGGTAACCGTCCTTACGAGGTATTTTCTACGTAGTTTAGTTTACAGAAAGAAAATTGGTTATTTTGAGCAATTTCAAGCTAAATCTATGCTGGTTTAATAATCAAAACAAGCAAAACTGAAAAGAAGAATAGTCCAAAATTGAACTGGGGTCAATTTCAAACAAAAAACCTTTCGAAAATGAAACCTAACAAAAAATGAGAATTAACTATTTAACTAGCAAAACCAACATTCATTTATTTTTAATTTTTTTACATAGGATTAGCAAATTTTTTCGGGGGTTAATTAATCGAAAGAAATTTTGTCAAAAACGCCTTTTTATCTTTTGTCTTTTACCACCATCATCATCATCATCATCATCATCATCATCATCATCATCATCTCAAATTTTGTCTTTTTAGTACATTTCAGAGTTTCGACTTCATCTGGTTTTTAATGCTTGCATCAAACCTACATTTGAACAATGTGCTTGCAACATAGCTGTAACAACTATGTTCAAATTTGGAAACATTTTCAAACAATCTATCATCTATTGCGGAATTGGTTCAGTTCTTGAAAATGTGATAGCGTTGTCAATTATGATGTAATTTTGCTCTTGGTAAAATTGATGCACTTGAAAGAATATACAGGTTTTTCGACAAAACGCGCACTGGAGATCCATAGATTAAAATCTTTTAAACTAGCTTTCTTTTTTCAGTCCCTACAACAATGTGGGATTATTGCTAAAGTTGCCTGAAATTGATTAGTCTCAACAATTATAATGAATTAACATCATTTTGTTTCTGCATAAAAAAAATTGCATGCTGCATGCGCAGAATTGAAATTTAGTGTTAATTTGGTTAGATAAATTATTGGGGTTGTTTTTTAAAGTTGAAATCTTGTGTTTTGTTCATCCTACTCACATTTATTTTCTAAATTTTTATATTTTGTTTTTAGTTTTTTGTTCGTTTGTCAATATGTTGGGTGTATGGTGGGCGGATTGATGCAAAGTTTTAACCAACAAAAACAAATTGTATATTTCTCAAATAAATTATAAATAAAAAAAAACAATCGTAAGCTTACAGATTTTTTTTGTCCGAGACAATGATTTTCAAACTTAGCTTTTTTGTTGGTTCTGTTTTAATCTGGCTGGTAAATGGTGTTTAATCTATTATATATATTTTAAAACTTTTATGAACTAAAACCTTAAAAGCAATTGCTCTCTCTCTCTCTCTCTCTCTCTCTCTCTCTCTCTCTCTCTCTCTCTCTAGTGAGTTTGCTAACAGTTCGCGTGACATTTTAATCTCACTGGATTTGATTTTGCATGAAAAGTTACAAAATTTTAAAAACTCTTGAAATAAACGGCAAATTCAATCCAAACCGATTCCTCAAAATTATTAATTCTCTAATTTCCAATTTTTTTAAAATACTTTAAAAGCGTCAAAAAGTATACTTCTGTGTCGAGTAGCGATCGGTGTTGACCCTGTTCCTCCACCTCGCTCATCAGCAGATAGACATGCAGTGTCTTGCTCACGCTGCTCTCCGTGAATGCCGTCTCCTTAGTACCCCTGTGAGTCAGAATGGCCTGCATCCGATTCTCACTAAACAAGCCAAACAAACCAGTAATTTCTTGTTTTTTTGTTAACTGAAAAATAAATCATCTTTTGCTTGGTTACGTTTTTTCGGCCTATTTGCCCCAGCTTCGTCTTTTTTTGCGCTGATACGAGCAATTTTTGTTACCTTAGGATATATTCGTGGAGACATAATTTAGTCATTCATTAACTTCTATGCTGCATTAAAAATGAAGTCTTTTTTAAGTATTGAACCAATTTAAACATCTTATATTTTTGATGACGTTACCATCACTCGCAAATAAATAATGATTTTGGTGATCGTTAGTGTTTCAAAAGAGATCAATTTTTTTTGAAAAAAAAAAATTAAAAAATTGTTTGCAAATTTGCCATCTGGAAAGCATCACGATTAAAATGGCTTCAAAAATTGTAAAAACCAACTGCAGCAGACGTTTTTTTGTGGTATTTTTTTTTGAGTTGAACAAAAATTGTGAATTAAAACTGAAACATACCTGAAAACCAAACTCTTTTTTTTGGCGGAAAAACCCTATGGATGTTTATGTTATTTCCCACTATGTGATTGGTCGGGATAAAATGTTGTTAATAAAACCAACTGTTTCAGCATTTCGTGGTATGATGGCAGCAACATATATTCTAGTCTCACTTTGTCATCCTCACGGACCTTCTTTCCAGAGTTGAAAGACTGTGCTCGTCTCCTGGATGAGGATATGTTCAGTAACTTCTGAAACCCGATATGCGCAGACGCCGCATCTTCAGAAACTTGCCTGGTGTGTCGTTGGTAACTTCTTACCTGACCTGTGTCATTTACAGGATCACTCAGTTCTGTTTTGAAATTTTCACTCAAACTGTTCCGCCGTTGAACATTTGAATCAACGGTATTCTTCTCCGTGCTTGATTTGCTTGATGAGTTTTGCAATGGAGTGTTGCTCTTGACGTAATCTGGCGTTTTCGATGTATCGGTCTTTTCAAACTGAGCAGAAGTCCGTGCAGTGCCTGATGATGTTGATGACCCGTAGTTGTTCCTATGATTACATGCTACCTCTACTTGTTCTTTTCTTTCCCAGTCCTCGGGACCTCGGATGGTGAATGCGACGTAATGTTTCTCATGTTTTTTGGATCTAAATTACAGCTCGGGTAAGAACTTGAGCGATTTCTTGCAAAAGATTATCCTTTTACTTGCTTCAAATAAGTGATTTAATATTTTTTGTAATTGCAATTAGAAACCAGATGCCAGTAGAAACTACATGTTTTCTGTGTTATAATTGTTTTTTGAGTTCGTCATTTGTAAGCTTTATAATTCGTTTTGTTTTGCTTCTTAAATTTTCTGACGTATCAATAAATTTTATTACCGGTTGGCCCGTATTTGACTGTGTTTCTGAAGCTGTTGCATGAGAAGTGTTGAGATATTGGCGCGGGGGTCTAATGAGGTGGAGAGGGGCTGGGCAGCCATAACTGCGTAGAAGTCTTCGATTGAGATGATGTCTGTGACGTACTCACACCTCCTTCTAGAAGAAGTAAGGTCTGTAAATAAAACAGTGTTGGACTCCATTAAACAAAAAATTTGATTCATAACTATAACTAGTTGTATGATCAATTTGAACTCTTTAAAATTTGTTGACCTTTAAAGGTTTGTTAAAAAAACGTCTTATCCCAGAACAATTGAACTTTATTTTTATAGGATATTTAAATTTTGGTCTTCAGATATGGAGTACGGTTTAATTGCCTCATTTTGTTAATCTTCATAACTATAGATCTTAACTCTACTTCTGAATGGTGTTCTATGTGCTCACGTGATCCGAGTAATGTCCTAGCGAATATATCTGTGAGTCCTCCGTTGTTGGAGTACCTGCACACGCAGTGATAGTCCCTCAATTTCAGACTCTTCTCGTCACTGTCCGCCACATACAGCAGAATTATGGCTAAAACAAAAACATAAGAAACGTGCATGAGAAAATAAGGTTAATTAGAAGTTAAATAAGTCCATTTTTTTGCCATCTTTCATTACGAGGCCAAACTCTGCACTGGATAGGCGCACAATTTTGTGTCTGTATGTTCCTGGATTCCAGAGACAAGTATTTAAACATGTTAAAATTTTGTCGGAAAGATAATGAAGGAACAAAAGAAGAAATGGAGCGTCCTTGTTGCGGAATCAAGAAAATACAATTCAGAAAATACATAGTATGGCCTCGCAATGTTGTCTCTCTAAAAACACTCTATCAAAACTTAGTTTTGTTCACTGAATTTTTGCTATCCTGCGTTAGTTTTTTTTGCTCAAAATTACAAATTAACTCTCGAACAGGGGCAAGTGTCAGGTAAGTTCAGCAACAAAAAAAGTAATAAACAGTTTGTTAATATAAGATTTTTTCAGAACACTTTTCTTCAAGTTTTTATTGTTCCGACCATTGGAAAAAATGTGAGGAACTTTGTATTCGGGTGTAATGTAAACTTTTTTTTGTTTCCACGCAAAATCAGATACCACCAATAATCAGCGGAATGATCAAGTAATGTATCATATGAAACCCCCTTCTGTCGTGATTCGAACAACATTAAAAAAGGTCAAAAACATGTCCCAAAGTTGAAAAAAAAACACGTTTAAAATTTTGATTTTGAATTTTAAATTGAGCTTTTTTGAAGAAATTAATAGATTACAATAGCTTAAACTAAACCGTGAAACCTTAAATTTAGTCGAATAAATTTAGTTTTTGAGTTTTTTTTGTATGCTCGCTCAATCTCGCTCTCAAAAAACTTAAAATAATCGAATGAAACAACTTTTATTTCTCGGCAAATAACTCTGTTTAAGAGATAATTTGAAACATTCTGAATCGTTCATAACAGCAAAAATTTTTAGCTTAAAAATCAAAGCAAGCTCTCAAAACACTGCTATTTGCCTTTGAGACAAATGACTCTTTTTTGGAGATCAGACTTAATCAAGTCTGACCGTGTTAGAGAGAAAGGGTCAGGTGTATAAAATTCAGGTGTACAAAAAGGGTCAGGTGTATATTTGATGCATATTGCACCTTACTGGAATTAGGTTTACATATTGCACCTTTTTCCATTTTTTAAACGAGATTTCAATAAAAATTGAGAAAAAAATTTTAAATTTGTTTTTGTTTTCTATTCAAATTTCTAAAAAGTTTTCGTCCAATTTGCTGATTTTACTATGACTATGACTTGAGCGCTATACTTCCAATCTGACTACGACTTCCAATCTTTTTATCATATAACGCAGGAAAAGAACTATAATTTGAAAAATTATATATTTTTTTTCCCAGACACTATGTTCGGTACATTCTGAGCTACTTGCACAGTAAGCGTCTTTCCTTGTTTTTTATATATCAATAAATTATGAGTTTTGAAGCAAACCAATAACAATGACTTCCGTTAAACTTTAGTTTGTGTTTGTTTTTTTTTTGTTAAGAAAAAATATTATCAATTGACATCTCGGATTAATGAAAAATTGCTGATCCAATTTTCATAACACTTTCCTTGATGTTTTTTTTTTCATAGATCGATAATTAACGGTTATTCATTGATAAACATAGCGCTTGAGATTGAAAAAAGTAGCCTTACTTCAGAGCTAATTCACCGCTAAACCTTTCCAGCAATGTAATGGTTAAAATGGCTCAAAAATTGGTATTTATTTGATAATTCATCGCACAAAAAAGTTATTTATTAAAATGTGAGTTTTTTCTCGCCTAACTCCACGCCCATTCAACAAGGAAATTGTTTTTCCAAGGGGAAATGAAAACACAGATTAAAATGTACTTTAAGCCATTTGGGGGGTTTTGCTGCGACCAAAATTAAATCCAATGAAATAGGAGCTTTTACCCTCATTAATCCCGAAAAGAGTTAAAAACTCAGTGCGGCTCCACTTACAAACACCCAAATCGCCAACGAGAGAGGTTTTGACTTTAAAATGATAAGGATTTGGGTTCGATTTTTTTTTCGAGAGTAGATTTAGGATAACTTTGATCTTTTTGTTTACAAAAGGCCCGTTATGATCTTGTTAACCAATTGAAACTAATTTATTGTTAGATAAATTTTTTTTATCCATCTAATCAATATAATCATCAGAACGTTATCTTTTATCCGAACATGTTTTTACACATTTCAAAATTTTTCATATTTACTTGAGGTACTTTATTAAACAATCCCATATTAAACACCAAACATCGCTGGAATAACTTACCATCCAGATCCCTGGGGGAAGGTTTAGTCCCCACCAACCAAATGTTGTTGAAAGGTGGGTTACCGTATTTTAAAAGTTATCGCTAATTCATCTCTAAGTTATTACTCTTTCATCGCTAATTTTTGAAATTTCCAGTCTGAAATTTGGTATTTGTGTAAGTACTTCTAATTTGCACCCCTAATTTTTAATAGGAACTCAATCCCCGTATTTTTCAATGTCTTGATCTATTAGACTAGAAATAATAATGGACTTAGCTTTTCACTGGAATAAGGAGTCGCACAAAGGTGTCAGCCCTCAATTAGATAGCATGGCGTTCAGGCGATGTGTAGGAACAGAGACCGCTCTTTGGGAACATAAACTTAGGAACCATCTCGAATGCCTAGTTTTCAGATCTGGTTTAGTTACTGTGTCATTAAAATATAACAACCATTTTCAAATGGGGAGCGGCGGTGAAGTGGTTACGTCTCCGCCTCTCAATCGAAAGGTCGGAAGCTCGATGCCGACCATGATCCGTGATCGTTGCTTGAGGGTGAAACAACATTACCCAGCCCAGAAAAATAACCCAACAACATTGTCTGTAGTTCTTAACCAGGGGCTCAACAGCGGTTCTCCGTGATGAGCTGTACAGCTCTTGTGTTGGTCCTTTCCCTTGTGGATAAATCGTCTTAACTTGACAACAATTCTGGTGTAATTCGGCGAAGTTTTACAAAATCGTGGGACAATGTCTATGAGACAGCGTACAGCCGATTACCGAGTTTCAAATGGGGATATTATTTGTGGTCAAAATGCACCTCAAGTTAAGAAAAAGAGTTTTTGTCCAGCGGCAGATTTGAATTTGAATTTAAACGCTCTGTAGCATCGTATTTTAAAAATAATAACATCCCTTTTTATTAGCGTATCTTAGTAGAGTTTTCTTTTTTATTAAGAGCAGATTTTTTTCGAAGGGTGTATCAAGCCTTTTTATTAATTTCTTTATTTACTTAACTTTAAGAAGCGAGCGCGCTCCGAAAAAACGCAAGTTTCTTGGTCGCAAATTTCTGAAAAAAAAACTAGGATCTTTATAGTGAATTGGGAAGCTCGGAATGTCAATTTGGCCGATCAAAAAAAAAAGATTTTGAAACTCCTTAACCCGCTTGAAACACCTAGATCCCTCCCTTACCTGGTGGATTGTACTTTTCCTGCTGGAAGTGAATGGAAGTAGAAGACACGGGAGTGGTACTGGCTCTGATCACACTCTTCACACTCTCTACTGACGTCATCACACATGCACCCAGGAAACAAGTGTACAGCACCACAGTACACACGTTAGCCAGCACCATGCGTCTCCTGCTGTGTTCGACACTGTCCCCGTCTACCCCTCCATCCTCACCATCTTGCTGTCCCACACCTGAAAATAGACTCTAACTTCTGTTGCTTACTCAGGCTGATTGGCTTTTTTGTTTGCAATGGAAAGCGAGCACAAAGGAAAACATGTGATCACGGTCAACTACAGAACAAAAAAATTAAATAACTTTTTATACAAAAACTTACTGTTTTTGGGCACAGAAAGTGGATTGAAAAGAAATTCGAAAAAATACGAAGATAGCAGGTTGAGTGCAAGTAGCATTTAAGTTTCCGACCACATTCATAAACCCCTAAAATGTTTTTTCTTTTTTGCTTCTCCAAACTAGTGTTATTTTTAAAGAGTGATGTCAGCAGAGAGTTATTGAAACGTGTAGAAATTTAAATAATTGCATAACTGACAGCATTTGTCTTCAAAAATTGAATTACAAAAAAAAATGAGAAAGTTGGGGAAAATTTTTTTCTAATTCTTGCACAGTATTTTTTTTAGAAGACCTTATCCTTCATTCTAGGTCTTAATGAAATCAAATTGCCTTAGCCCGAAGATCGTTACTTGCCCGAAAAAGAAAAAATGTATAAAGTAAGTAAAATCAACCTGAAAGTGTCCAACTGGTTTCAGTTCGAAAAAGGGAAATATCCAGAAATTTTTTCTCATTCTCAACATTAGTATCCAGCCACTTGCATAAATCTGATTTTGATATACATGCTAAGTTTTGCAATCTGTATACTGATAGAAATGTTCTTTCAGCCTTGAGTACCATGTGGCTTGGTTGGTCACTAGCTAAGTTAATGAGTATTAGAATAAAATTATATGTTTTATTGTGATCTCAACAAAATACTTCTAAAATGAACTAGAAGTTATTTTTGTCTAGTCAAAACTATTGCAAACAAAATAAATACAAGTATGAGTGACGATTTCAGAAAAATAAATAAATGAAACACAGGAGAATCTCATTCAGAATTAGTAGAAGTGGCTTCAAAGGTGAACTGCGGCCACCACGAGGAAGAATGGGACGAAGACAAAAAAAATGAAGAAAGCTAGTCGAAACAAGAAAAACGCAAAAACAAATTAGTACATAATTATACACGAAAAATGCAATAAAAACATCATGGCGATCAAACATCAGAATCAAAATAGCTGAAGTTTTTTGGGAATCCCAATCAGCACTCAAACGGCTTCAATCTGATAATACTCACCCTCATCTGCGTTTTCTTTGCTACCCGATTATTTGTACTACCCGATAGGTGCTGGGACTAAAAAGTGTTGATGCTGAATTCAAAAATGTTGGTTTCACCCTAGTAATGATCCATAATAAAGGTTGATCTTTGGTCGCTTTTCCTATGTTTACGGTGGTAATTGCTGCTTTTAGCTACATCAATGAAGCATTTTAACCAAATGTCACGCCAAAAATTAGTTCCTAAGCACTTTGGAAGGCTGTCTTCTTTTCGTCAGTTTTTTTATACAACACAACCTGTATAGTTTTTTATCTCGTAAATCTAAATAATCGGAATCTAACACCCGGCGCCTTATCTTGTAAATCAAAATAATCAGATTAAGTTGGAGTCATATTAATTGGAAATGTCGCGGTGCACCGGGTTAAATTTCAAGCAAGCGATATTAAAAGCAAGCAGTTTGTGAAAAAATGACGAATTTACGTGCCAGTTATAGGATTAGAAGATGATTGGAATATTTTGTGACATTCTACCCTGTGTATCAATTTACACTACTCCTAAATTAAGACGGAATGATAACAGCAAAATAGTGATCGCCGCAGTCGCGCCAACGTGTTGCGGCGATCTTACCTACAGAGGGTAGGACTCTATAGAAAAATTAGAGCCGAATATCGCCGCGACCTTAAACCGAGATAGGAAGCTCAGTTATCTCTGACCAGTTGAATTATTTGTATAACATAAGGTAAATTGACATAAAGTAATTTGGCATAAGGTAGATTGGAATATTGGTCAGATTAGTATAGGGTAGAATGGCATAGGGTAAATTGACATCGGGTAGATTATCATGTAACCTTGTTTTCATTTTTTAAAAGAAATTCGGCGTTACTTATTAACTAAAGAGCCTATTGTGCCCATCGTCATCATAAGCACATACATGTAAGAATTCACGGTCGGGCGATAATTTTTCTTGGGAGGAGTTCACTCACAAACAAACAGACAGATCTATTTTTTAAGTTATGTATAGATTAGAAAGTTTTTTGTACTTAAGCGCTCTTCGTATAATAAATAGGAGCCTTCTGATAGGAAAAACATGAAAGCTGGTGCTCTTCAACAATTTCAAAGTTTTCGGCCTTATCTAGGCATATCATCAGTTTTCGGCCTTATCATCAGTGCCACATTTTTGATTTAATGAGCTGGTGGTTAAACTTAACTGCTATTTACAGTAGCAACATATTTAGATATTTCATAAAAACGAATGAAGGTATCAAAACAAAGAAACTGCTTTGGAACTTTCATGTTCAAAATTTGCCACCTGATGTCAGGGTAAGTTTTGATAAATCGTCTTCCAAAAACTGATATCTGCTATTTCACTATGGAATGAGTGTAACCGTTTACAAATGAGCATCAAATGTAAACGATAGAATTTAGCGAAAAAAGACGTAGCAGTACAACTGAGCTCACTTGATTGTGTTTGATCCCTGTGGTGTTTAAGGTAGCCATTTTCGGGATCTCTTCTTTTCCGATCACCTGTTGTCGAATGACATGTCTCCTCATCCTCAATTGAAATTTCCTATAAAAAAGACTGATTTGTTATGTTAAACATGAGATTTCAAGACGCAATCAAAAATTTAATGTTTCAACATGAAACAAGACGTTTATGAAACACGAGGTTTCATAAATGAAGCAAGATATTAAAGCAAGACTTCAATTTGAAGTTTGTAACAAAAACCCAAAAATTACCTGGAGGTCAATTAATTACAAACCTTTTGAGTTTTGAGCTTCGTTTTCTCTATCATCGAGTATCAAGACTTTTACCCGTTTCCGAATTTTCTCGGATAAAAATAGATTAAATTGAGAAAATAATGCCAAATAATTGCAAGCGGAAAATTGGAATAAACAAATGTTGACTAGGTTTTCCAGAAAAACATTTCAGCAAAATGTATTGATCACAAATTTTTTTTATAGAATTATTTATAAAAGCATAAATTTACTGAAGCTAATTTTTTTTGAGATCCGTTATTTTAGCAGAAGTGCTTGGAAACACAAATCTAATTGATATAAAAATATTATTTTTTTTATAGAAAAAAAAAGTGTTACATAAATTGAAAACTTGAAACTTATACCATTCGGTCAAACAAAAATTCATGATGTTGCCACTTGAGATTTACACCATTTGGTATATCTTCAAAAAAAACTATATTTTGAAAAAGCAACCAAATTAGATGGTCTATTTAATGTCATAAAAATTGAAAATAAAGATGAAAAAACAATTAATTGAAAAGTAATCTGCAATAAATATCAACGCACAAGCAAAATGATTTTCTTATTGCAATGTTTTGAGCTTTTGTTTCAAAAAAAAGTGTGCTGAAGTTATTCATTGTCTATTATAAATTTTATTGTAGTTACAGAAAAAGATCGAATTTTTGTGCCTTATATAGAAAATTTTTCTGTTTCGATGATGTTGAGAAAGAAGTTGATACTATCCGATTATATGGAGAAATTTATAGATTTTTGCAATATATATATATATTGGTTGGTTGTGTAACATATCGAAAAAAAAAGGTTTCAAAAGTAGTTTAATTGTTTGGCACAAGTTGAAAACACTCCAATAGAATCTTTTGAAAGGTAGTCTGTTTTTTCTAGCATTGACAAAACTGAGATTATAATTGTTTTCAAGTGTTACTTTTCGAAGTTTTCTACTGCTAGAAAATAGATTGTTTGTATTTCAACTAGACACTAAATTGATACTGCGGGATTTTAACACTTTTTAGAGAAGTCAATCAAATATTTTTGAAAAATTTGCTGCTTATAATCTGAATGTGTAAAAACCTGACGTTTTTGTCTAAATTAACTTTACATTGTTTATTTAACAACAAAAAGAGTTAATGCTTTGAAATGATACTTTTTGAAAACCCAAATAAACTTACAAGTCTCAGAATCTCATTTTATTAATAAATTTTTTCGCAAAAATTATCATATGTTTGTTGTTTTTTCCTTCCGTATTAGAATGAGCTGACGTCACTCTAAGACATAATTGTTTTGCCAGCTAAACGTTTGAGCAAGCAATTATTTTATGACAATTTTATAAACTTATGAAAGTTTAAATTGAAAACTTAAGCAATATATATATATATATATATATATATATATATATATATATATATATATATATATAAATAAATCAGAAAAAGGGCACTACTGACAAGAAAAACTATCAAAGAAAAATTTGTGAAAAATTTACGATACTGAGTTTTAGAATATAACCACCTGAAATCCAAAAATGTCCTCTGAAAGTTTTGGAATAAAATACTCTGAATACTTGAATACTAAAATACTCTGAAGACTCTCAATTAAAATTTTGATGTTTTGTGAATAAAATCTCAATAAACCTCAGTAATTATAATCGCATTTCATTAAAAATGTTAAAGTACCTTCATGAAGGTAAGTTTCAAACGCAAGATGACTGGTTCTTAATTGTTAACGCTACTTGGACAAAAATTATCAAAACACAGCTGGATTTTAAACTATTTAAAGATTTAAAAAAACAAAAGGTTGCTTGAAGAGTTTATTTGTTTCTGTTGGTTTGTTGATTCTATTTTTATTAGATATAAGAACAACAATTCATTTGATGCAATTAAATGGAAAGTTTTTCCTTTGAACTTGAGCTTGATAATCCGCCAAGGCAAACATTCATTTGTAAAAAGCATGAAAAGTAAAGTTTTTAAACTTTCGCATATGGCATTGTGTGTAACTTGATGAGTTTTTTTTGCTTTATTCCTTGATGCATGCTCCGTTCGTGAGATTATGTTTCTAAAAATTCTTCCACTAGTCCAATTGCTCATTAATAATATGCTGAACCTTCTAACCTAGGGCAATCGTTTCCTCTAAAATCTGACAAATCGCATTATCGCCGAAGAGTGAGTGAAGCATTGTCAACTAAGCGACCGCGAGACCTTTGCCTCTAAGCTAAGGTTGCATATCACGCTTGAAGTTTTGTCTGCTGGCGGTGTGTTTGATAATCAATCTTTGACATATGAGATGTAAAACTTTGATCCAAACAAGACTGCTCCTATCAAGGCGAAGCCCTGAATGTTCGGACTGCCTTTTAAGGTTTATGGAGTAGTAATAACAATAAAAAATTAAATGTAATAAATTAAAACGATATTTTTTTCTAAAATTTGAGATTTTGTGTGAAAATCATCCCCCACCCGCCATTTTTTGTAAAAATCATCCCCCCACACGCCATATAAACATTCAGAGCGAATCCGACTGCCTTTTAAGGTTTATAGAGCAGTAAAAACATTTAAAAATTAAATGTAAAAAAATAAAATGAACTTTTTGTAAAATTTGAAAGTTTTTGGGAAAACCATCCCACCACACGCCATATAAAGTACAAAAGGATAGATTTCGCTCCTTGTAACAAATCAAGGATCTTGTTAACTATTCCCCCCGCCCCCCCCCCCCCCCCCAGAAATTCGATTTTCAGAAATTCATTTTTGGCGGCCGCATTTTCAATAGCTTCAAACAGTTTTCAGAAAATACATATATTTAAAAATTTTACGTGGGTATTATCTAAATAGTGAGTAACACAAATATGAACGCGCAAAAATGAAAACCCACTTAATTGTTAACATTTTTGATATGCATATTTTACACAGAAATGATTGTCAAAAATAACACATGCATAGGAGGGGGATAGTTAACAAGGTCCAAAAGGGGGGGAATAGTTAAAAAAATCCCAAATCGATTATGGCAAGTTAGCTTCTTTCAATCAATTTGGAACCATTTCATAGATGGATTAAATCTCAGATTACGCGTTAATAGCCTGAAATATATCGCGCATTACTTGTCCCAAATTGGACAAAATGGCAATCTTCAAACCCCCATAACTTTGCTAAAAAAAGTTACAGGTAAAATATCTTTTCAAATTTAAGCTCAGGACAACAATACCTTTTGAATGATTTAAAAAATTCTGTCCAAAATGGCTAGTTAAAAAGTCGAAATTTTTCTGAAGAAAAAAACCCACCCCGAGAACTAATATTCCGTTACTTTCGTTACGGAAGTCGGAAAAATTAGAATCAAAATAAATTAAATTATTCTGGGAGAAACAGATACATATACAATTTGTAACGGACAAGTATCACGCACGAGCGCTAAAAGTTGATGAACCGAGACTCTGGAAAACCATAAACACAAGGAATATAACCCTAACACTTATGCAGAAATGATTTCATGAAATTCGGAAATGTTTATGAGGAAACAGTTTCATAAGTATATCCGTATTTATTGATTTCGTTTATTTTTAAATGTTTTTAAAATTTCAGGTAGAGGATTAAAAGTCATTTGTAATCCTGTGGCTGAACCACTTGTCCAATCAATTTGTTCTAACTAGTTGTAAATTTTTGCTGTTAGAACAATTTCTAGTCGCAACTTTTCTACTTGTTCTTACTAGTTCTAAATAGTTATGGCTTTTTGATAAATATTTTTTGATAAATACTTTCCTACGCACTAATTTTTGTTGAGAGAAAATTTCATAAGCTGATCAAAAAAATTTTAATTTTGTATTCAACAAAATTTGCATCACGGGATTCGAATTTGGTTTGAAAAATATGGCTCCTAATATGCGTTTTTAAATAAAACTCTTTGCAAAACACTTTTGATAAACAATTATAGGAAACTATATGAATTAACAGGCAGGCTTGGCTTATCTATTTTTGATAGTTTTTGATAAAAAGCTTTTTGACAAGTAACTTTTGACAAATGGTTTTTTATGTATAATTTTTAGTAACATTTTTTTATGCCTCGTAAATTTGAAAAAAATGGTTAGAATGATTATTTTTGGCTATAAATAAATAAAAATTGTACCATTTTCTCTAAATTACAAAAAACTGGGTCTCAAATTTTTTGAAAAAATGGCTTGTATATTAATCAAAAATTGATTCTTTTTTTAGATTATAAAAATTTGACCTAAAACTTGAACATTTGATTGCTATATTTTGCTCTATACATCAATTTCTTCAGCTACTGATTCTCTATTTTTTTAAATCTATCAGATATATTTTGCAAATTCTGAAATTTTCTGCCTGCGTTAAAATGGAACCCGATTTAAAACAGTCATCACAGATCAATCAAAAATCTTTGGTGTAGGTTTTGCAAACTCAGTGAGGGATAAAACGGCCCATCAGTTGAAAGCAAGCATAAGCTGAACATGCAAATAATCAGAGTTTTGTAAATACTTGCCTCAAGCATTATAGTGGATAAATTTTTGGTAAAAATTCGGAAGATAAAAATAAAGAAGTATATGAATAGCTATTGCTGATTATAAGCTCCAATTGACTTCATTTGAAATCATTCACAGGAAAAAAAATCTAATTGAGAGGTATTCCCACTAGACCAAAAAGCGGAGAAATAAAGCAAATCTTCATCAGAACGAATTAGCCTAGTTTGATTAACCTTGTAAGAATGTAACATTAAGAGGATGTAAGAGTTTGCTCGACCAAAGCTCTCAATTAGAGCCGGAACAGGTGAATAAAATTGGTTTAAAAAAGTTGATCTTTAATTCGAATGGGGCTGCACTCGAGGTGTGACGCAATTTTTAGCTCTTCATTTTTGAAACTTCTTTCGTTTTTTTTTTCACGTTTTACTCTCACCATTTGGAAATTTTGTAGTCACCTCTGATTATATTGACCGTTTTTTTTTCTGTGAATTTACCTCTCCTAAACAAAAGCATGCTGTGTTTGATAACATTTGTCTAACAAAACTAGAACGACCCACTTTTTCATCTCTCTTCACTTAAAGTTGCCTAGTTTTTACGCTTTTTCAAAAAATATGTTCTTTTTTTATGACTGATTGTATTACTAATTATGAAGCATCATTTAAAAAGGACTGGTGTCATTAAACCCTTCCTACCAACTTCACAACCCCTTTACACATCAAAAACACCTCAACTTATAAACTTCGAATTTATGTCCAATTGCATAGAAAATAAATTCTGCAAACTGTTTAAAATTTTCAAGCGGTAGTTCTTTCGAAATCTAACTTTCCTGGATAAAAGTTTGCTTTCTCTACTTGTACAAAAATGTAGAAGAAATTTCCTTCTTCTTCTATGCAAAGTGTTCTTGATGGAAAAAAAAAACAGAAATGAAATTTGGAATCAAACTACCGTATTAAATGCGGTTTTTCTAAATGGCAATGGACTCTAGGGAACTCGCTTAAAAGTAAATGTTTGAAGCCCAAATGTGATCAAGACAGATGCATCAACAAAGTCTTCACAATTCAACTGGAAAAAGGATGGTAATTGAAATGGACACGCCGAGAAAAAAATGTCTGCATAAAAGCAGAGGGGGATCTGCATTTTTGGACGTAAAATATGCAAAATAATTGCTTTCACGAGGGCTTGAAATGTAATTTACAATCTCCCTTCTAAACTTGAAAAATCGCGTGTTTCCGACGCGTGATATCTTTCATAAGGAATAAGAACTAAGTAAAAATAAGTAAAATAAAGGTGGCGCCTGTAAGAATAATTTAGGGAGGATATTGTAAAATAATACCATTTCTGAGGTGATAGCAGAGGTAAACACTCTCTTAATCCGCGACTGGGTCTGGTCTAGCCTGGCACATAGACATGTATAACCCGATAATTTGATATAGACATTTTTGCCCACAAATATCACTCAGATAAGTCCAGTAATGGGAGCGGAGCGAAGTGTGTTTATGGGCCGAAGCGGGCCGCTAAATTGGACAGTGCGACATGCACGTTTCCGTCGCAGTTTCAAGCATTCAACTTGAAAAACTGATGTGAACGCGGGCGGTTGAGAAGGGTGTCTGATTTTGAATATTTTTTTTCTGGTTGCCATAGAAAATTGAAAAGCGACATACAATTGGTTAAGTTTCACCAAAAGTTTTCATGATTGTGTTACATTGAATTGAGTATCACCACAATGGGTATCACCAGAACATATCATCCCTTGCGAAATTTAAAAAAATTCTGAAATCACTCAAACAATGACTGATGTAATTCATTAACGACCAAATAAAAATGTAATAACTGGCGAATGATTGAATGGAAAATGTTTGGAAAATGAGGGTGACTGACCCAAGCATTAAATTTAATAGACAATTGTGAGAGACGGTAAAGGAAACCAAGCAGTTTTAAGGCGCCCAATTGAAAGAAAACGATTAGTCGAATGCTGAATATAAATTTGTTACAGTCGTTAATCTTATTTTCGTTCGATTTGTGGGCATGCTAGTTGTGAAATAATTGTTCGAATATAACCAAAAGGCATTCGTTTTGTTTGTTTTGCTCGTTATCAAGGTCATTGTCTAGAACAGACCCGTCTCCTTATTTTTAAGCAAACAGATAGGAACTTCGTATTCGTGTGTGTTTTAGTTTTTTTCTTTTTTTTCTGTTTTTTTTGTTTTCCAAGCAAAAGCAGCAACCACCAATAATTATTGGAGAGAGTTGTAAGATATATCATATCAAAGCCCTTACCGGCGTGAATCAATAGACACTGAAAAGTTTCCAAAAAAATCCCAGTGTCGTGAAAAACCGGTTTGGATTTTTTGGTTTTTCGTCCTAATTCGAAAAAAGCGAACAAGCATGCTTACAATAGCTTATTGTATTTGTTTAAAAAGCTTACAATAGCTCAATTTAAAAAGTTAAAACTTGAGATCAAAAATTTCTAAAACTTTTGATTGTTTTTTTTTGTATTTCTAGTCGTTTTTCAACAAAAATTGTTTTTCAATCAATTTGCTTTATTTACTATGACCGTAGAAAACGCTTAATCTCTACTTTGTCGTTCAGATCCTTTTATCACACCACGCAGAACATATTAACACTAATTTGAAAAAAATATATATATTTTGTTGTAATTTGATGTGTAATATTTTTTCGTTACATTATGACAGCGTTAAAATAGTTTGTCAAAACTAAAACTAAAATGTGGGAGGGGGATCAAACATATTAAGTCAAAGAGGAGAGTTTGGTTCGTTTTTTTTGTGTTTTTTAATTTTCTTTTATTATATTTTCAGATGGACCACTGGTTTAAATATTGAAAAGAGTTGTTTTTATATACATTGCGCTTCCGTGTCAATTTTTCGTTTCTTGACAGTTTTTGTTACTTTTCAATAAAAATTGGTGCTGATGAGAGCAGGAGGAGGGTGCAAGTTTTTTGAAATTGATATTTGATATTAGATCAATTGATACTCGATACCTCTCTTTGTTGTGATCTACTTGATTCCAAATTTTTGATACACTGTCTCAAATTGTTTATAACTGGCTAATAAAACAGTAATATTCACTCTCAGTATGTCTCACTTTCAAGGGCTCAAATAGTTTTAACAGAAAAATGACTTTTAGGACGACTTTATTTCAAAAAGAAATCTTTCAAATTACTCGAAAAACATGCACATGTTTACTTCTGGACATCTAATGAAAAAGAACTGCAAGAAAAATTGGCTCTTTTCCAGTTTCCCACCCTTTCAAAATACCGAGTATTATGTTTGTTTCACGTGTTATTACGGCTAAATGCGTGATGTTACGCTTTAAAGTATGAAGAACAAATCTGTTCAGAATTGTCGATTTGTTCACCACGCAAAATTTCATTGCGTTAAGATTACGTTAAATAGACTTTTCAAAATTGAAATTTAAAGGGGGGGAGAACTGGAAAAGAGCCGAAAAATTGGGCCCAGGGTTCTTAGTTTTTTTGTCCTTTTTGGCAGTAACTGGACCAAAAAATTGAAAAGATTCAATTGTTACAGGGCCAAATGGAAAAAAAATTAATTGAAAAAACACTTACAAAAAGCATTTTGGATGAACCGTATAAGAGAAGAGGTTAATCCACAGACATAACACTAAAGAGAGATTGATAAAAATAATTAGCAATGGGGACAGGTCAGTTTTTTATTTAACTCTTTTTTGTCCAATGGTTCTCAAATAGATCTCTTACTGCTAATTTTGGATTGTCAATCTTTGGATTTTTTGACTCTCCTTAGCCGCATTTTATAGGTCATGATAGACTCAACTTCAGTTTATCTTAACTTATTATCTGCTTATATCGGATGGATCCAATTCTTTTTCGTTCAACTCTCAACTTTGTTCAACAAGCGCCGGTTCTTTTTTAAAGTTAGCTGCCGTCAGAACATACCTTTATAATAGTAAAATCGAAGCCATAGCATTTAAACAAACCGGCGAAATATGTTTTAAAATATAATGAAAAATATATAGAACCTGTCAATCGAATCTTTATAGTCGATCAGTTGATACTTGATATCGCTTGATAGGGTTCTATTTAAAAGCTCAAAAAAATGAAACTGTAAACTCAGTCTTCGGTAATAACTATACTAACTTAAAGTTCAAAATGTGTTTTCAATTTTAGTGCTCTGGTTTCAGTAATGTTCAGTAGAGGAAGCCTTAATTAAAAGTTCATTTTCAATGAGTTTAGTTTTGGCCAGTTAATGGAAATGGGCAGAAAAGGAAACGTAGAAGTCAAGCGACAGCATTTTTTGTCCTTTTGTCTCCTTCTTTGTACAAAAAACTAAATCGACAAAAAAGCTTATTATACAATTCTATATAATTTTTAAAATGCGTGTCATACATTTTCATACAATTCTATAGAATGAAAAACATTGTATGAAAACACATGATCAGAATTGTTTCTGTAAAGTGGAACTGTATGATAAGCAACTTTTCCATTCTATGGGGTTGTATGATAAGTATTTTTAGATTGTAATTTTCTTGTGTTTAGCTTTATATTTGAGCTTCGCCCTAAACACAAATACCAAAAGTTTTCGCAAATGAGAAAAGCAACAAGTTAAACAGCATTTGAATAAAAATTCAGACGTTGAAAATCGAGACCTTTTTATTTGTTAGATTTGGTTTATATCTTATCATCTATAATTGAAAAGTACAAACTCTGCCATCACAGAGAACCTTCAATGTGACCGTTGATTTTTTAAAGTATAAAAACGGTGCGTGGACTACGTTATACGCAAAATGAGAACCAAAAAAATCCTCAGATTTGAGTTTTTTCTATAGAAAAAATGCTTGTCATAAAATTTTCATAAATGGAAGTTGTATGAAAAGCATTTTTCCATAGAGCCGATGCATGGAATTGTATGATAAGCATTTTTGTTGTATGGGGGTCAACCCGGGTATTTGTACGCTTTTGATGAAGAAAATTATCAGAGAAAGTATAACATTCATAGCGTAATTCAATTTTGTGACCCGGATAAGAGTCGTCTGAAAACAGGCATAACTTGTCTAATGACAGGTTTCTAATAGCATAATCTTCCAGACAGGTTTCATCTATATATATTTTTTTTATAAAAACTAATTTTGCGAATGTGAACCTATTCTGGAAACCAAATTAGTGTTTATTAATATCCCACGGGAGAGGTCTTTCTTAAAAGGAGTCCTGAGAAAATTACTTTAAATTTAATTAGGAACTACTCTTGGTTGTTTGCAGAAAATTTAGGGACTGCACTCAAAATAGAAGGCAGGAAATCTTTCTTAGCTTACCCTGACAGCAGGTGACATGGTACTAGCAAACTGGTTCTGTGTCAAATGCATGTGTCTTGTTCATGAAACAAATACAGAGCTGATTTAATTTATCCGGACAAAAAAAAAACTAACAAATTTTGAAAATTAAAACGCGTCTTTTTGCATCAGGATTAAGTTTAGAGAAAAAATGAAGAGGACTGAAAGTGCCCAAAATTTTAACAGAACTGAAACGGTGCAATTCGGGCTCAGATTTTGCCAAAAAACCGATCATGTTTGTTAGCCTTTTTTCTATTAGTCAAAAGTTACGCAAAAACTTTCTAAAAACCAACTATATCAAGTAAGTCTCTTATTTAACCCAACCTTTGCTGAAAGGGTATAAAATTTGAACGCGCCCTTTTAAAATTGTTTTCAAATGAAAAATGGGTATCTTTTATGGTAAGAATGACATTTTGACTATTGAACATTGGATCGAGCCGTTTTAAAATTGTTTTTAAATGAAAAATGGATATTTTTTTATGGTAAGATTGATATTTTGACTATCAAACAAAAATGCGTTCTATTATGCAAGTCTTATGCCCTTCTTCATTCTTAACCCATTATGGGTAACAACAGAGGCTCACTTTTATATTGTTTTGTCTGCAGTTGAAACAATAGTTTTAGCTTAAATTTTGATCGATCAAAAAGCGAGAAATGTCAATTTTGGTTTTGGTTAAAATTTTGAGCCTAATTTTTGCAAAATGAATTGCATAACATAATCGCTCTTAAAATAATTTTCAAAACTTTTGCCTCTATCAACTTTTGTCTTAAGTCAACACATTAGAGTTTAAATTTTCATGTTTTGTTCGTTTCGCATAATTTGAGTAAGCACTGTAGAAAAAACTTATCAAGTACTTTAAGCCGTGTCCAGGCAACTAACTTTTGACCAACTGAAATATTAAGAAAA